TAATTTCAAATAAAAAGAGCTCAAAAGTGTGTAACAACGCGACGTCAACTGCACAGAGTCCAAAATGAGGTGAAAAGCTTAGGTGTACTGGGCCACATAGTGCAGGCGAGACATTCAACTTAAAACCCCCCAAATCCGTATTACCTGAGAGTTAATCGGTTTTTTTACAAAGTTTGAGTCCCAAATAAAAAATCGGGCTCCGGCATGACACAATGACGTAAATTGAAAAATCGTATATGGGATGCGGCCTGGGAGAAAGAACAAAGTTTAAAGAAGTGGGAAATGAACTGCTGAGGGCATGGTTAACACGGAGGTTTGTATCGATTTTTGAGTCACGATGGGGTCACACGGCATTTTATGCAAGGCACCTCTAACTGGGCCGCGTAGGAATTTCTGGTTGAATTGTAAAGAACGCCCGAAACTTTAGAATGTAATCCGCCCAAATACCGGAGTACCAGCCGATTTACCAATTTTTTGAAAGCCTGAGTCCAAATTGAAAATCTGTCTCCGTTACGAATTGACGCCGTAAATGTCGGAAGTTGTAACGACATTTGACACTAATTGCAGCATGGGCGTGAAAAGAAGTCAAAAACTGACAGCTGATGGCAGGGTCGAACCGGAGCTTTTTATCGATTTTTTGTTGCAAGAAGAAGTCTCGCACGCATTTTTGAAAGGGCCCGTAATCTGGTATGGGTCATTCATTTTTGTACATATGGTATGGTGATGTGAGGAAAGACAATTGATGCTTGTAACTATGCATTAGTTGGCGATGAGTTCAATGCTTCAGAGTAATGCGGTAAAGGGGAGCAAGTACTTATGCCAAGAATGCATTTGTTCCATCAGATGCCGATGTACCCTTCACTTTCAGAAGATCCCCATTCCCATTCGCACCCTGTTTTGCTATATCAATTAATAAGGCCCAAGGACAAACACTGTCTGTCATTGGTGTACACTTAGAGGAGCAGTGATTCTCATACGGTCGACTTTACGTAGCCTGCTCTCGAGTCAGCAGGCGCGATGATGTGTTCCTTTATTCACACTCACAAAAAGCTGAAAATGTGGTCTACACTGAAGTCCTCAGCCAGTCCTCAGCAAAATTAATTAATGCCAGAGTCCGACGAACTGATTTCTGTCTGGTGGGGCTTCGTTTTTATTGACGCCGTCAAAACCGGGGTGGGTCTGTTGGCGTCAGGGGTTCTTCGATAATTCTAAATACATATCCACCCTTCTTATTTCTAGTTAGGGATTTTCCACTCATTTCCATATTTGTAACTCTTTTCTCACTCCCACTTTCTCACCATGCTTCTGAGGGGCGTGAACTGCCCTCCCCACTTCTTCGTAGCGGCTTCTCATACATATACTCTGGATAGGGCGTCGACTGTTTTCTTCGGGCGTCACGTGACCATTCTCGGCCAATGAGGTCCAGGTCGGGTATCTTCCCTCCTCCTTCGTGCGTCATGTGATCACCACTTGGCCAATGACGTCTTAGTCTTAGTCGGGCGTGGACAACCCGTGGCTTTGTTTTGGAAAAAAAATATAAATTTTAACTAAAAAAAATTAATGATCTCTCCTCTTTCTTTTTTTTTTTTTTCTTTCAAATCGCCGTTATCATGGGCGGTTAATGTGACAACTCTCTGTTTTAACGTGGCGTTTGTCAAGCAGTTTATCGGTAATGCACTAACAGCTGGATTATCTGACATGGTCTAAGAAAAATTTTCTCCAAGTTTTTCGCCAATTTGGCGTCTCCAAAGCAGAAATAAAAATATTTCATTCATTTTCTTCGGTTCATGTGTTTGATAACAAAATTTTTATTATCGTAGGGCAAAAGTCTATTCTGTCAAAAAAACAACCTAGCCAGTGAAACTACTTTATGGGATTTTAATTTTCCATACCCAGCCAAGGCCCCAAGCCACACCTGTGTTTTGTCAATTATCAAAACCTAACGTTCCAAAGTGGACTTCTTATTTGGTGACATCTCTTGATAACACAATTCCATTTTTTCGCGGATAAAGCGGAAATCGGTCAACGCTTGTTCGCAGGTGGCCTTAATATTATCTTGTACCAACACCTCCTCGCCCACTCAATCTCATTGTCATTGAAATGAAACTTTTCATTTTTGATACCTATCAAAAATAACCCTTTTCTTCCTTATTCCCGTCTCTAAGAAGCCGTGTCAATGTGTGTTCGCTATAATTCTTCCGTCTCTGTAAAACTTTTTCCTTTTCCTTTTTTCGTTTTCTTTTCTTTCTTCCAAATCGCCTGAATGCATGGCGGTTCAATCCTCTTGAAAAAAAAGAAAGAATTATTCTTAAAACCTAAAATACATTTCGGCCTTAAATAATCCTCAAATGGTTGATAAACCGTAAAAAAACACAAATCATATATCTATAAATATATCTTTCAAATCGCCTGGATGCATGGTGCCACAATCCTTTTTTTGGCCTTATGCGATTTGTCATTTACCCGTAAATGACACCTAAACCCAAAACATCATTTAACATGCACCATGCATTTGTCCCATGCAATTCTATACTACTTTTTTACATGCAGTGTAATGTTCTCTTTTAACTTCTTTTGTTCTACATGCAATGTAATGTTCTTTTTCATCTTCTCTTGTTCTACATGCAAATGTAATGTTCTTTTTCACCTTCTTCTGTTCTACATGTAAATGTAATGTTCTTTTCATCTTCTTCTGTTCTACATGCAAATGTAATGTGTGCGTGTGTCTGTGGGTGCAGATGTGGTTAACTTGCGACAGCAGTTAACTGTCTAATAGGAAAACTGAACTACGAAAAGGTAGAAATAGGTATGGAACGCTAAGATGGACTGGGCTGCGCAGTAGAGGCAGCATGCGGAGATAAAATTTGTAATGCAAACGTTTAAGCAAATAGGTAACTTGCGGTAGCAGGAAGCTGTCAATTAACCCCAGCACAGATGCGTTAATGGCGATCAAATCAAGACGTGAGTGCAGATGCAGCCGCGCAGAATGTATTTAAAGGGAGCGTAACTTGTCATTGATTGGTGTATCCTGCACAATGGCCATGTTGTAGACCAATGAATGAGCTCATGCAAAATGGAAGATGCTAGCGCGCATTCACGCACACACGCATGATTTGGCAAGCGCAAGACTTGGCCGTAAACGGGGTCAAGCTGCCTGCTGCATATGCAGCTTGGCTCTAACGCACGTGATGCCGGTGATGAGAATGCAAGGAGCTGCAATGAAGCGTTTGCTCATTTGGTTTGTGCGACAACGAAAAGCCGCTAACCGTTTGCTGGCATTAGCTTTGAAATGGATTGGGAGGAAGCCCTGTTGCTTTAGCGCAAAAACTCCTCGTCAGGTCTGGGATGCGGCCTGGGCTAGGGGAAATGGTTTAAATAATTGGAAAATGAACTACTGAGGGCGGAACTATTTTTACTCAGCACGTATGCGGGTTTTTTTTCAGTAAAGACGCGAATAAAGGAAGTGCTTATTTTGGTAAGATGCGACGATTAAAGCCAAAGTGTTGACAAAGTCGAATATGTCATTTGTTGCTCAAAGTCAGATCTGGTAGCAGGGATAAAAAAGCCGAATTTCAATGGCCCTGCGCCCATTTCAGAATTTGAGGTCAAATGATTTCTTCCACTCCACTGCATGCACTGACCTGATTCTTCCCGCGCTTGAACTTAAATTAATCTGCATTTAGGAAATACCCAACCGGAAAAACATTTTTAAGGATTGACCGATTATTGATTTGCGCTCTGTTTGGGGGGCGCTCAGAGTTGAAACTTCACATGCTGACTCCCAATGGCCTCCTCATAAATCCGGTCGATTTTCGCTAAAAACCTACATGCGGTTCAGACGCAATCTGGGCGTATCTGTTTGGGGGTTTTATCGATTCTCCGCGCTGTTTAGGGGTCCGTGGTCATGAAACTTCTGGACAACACTTCTAATGGTAGACTCTAAGAGGGTGTCAAATTTGGTTGAAATGCGATCATTCCTTCTGTAAGCAGAATTTTTCGATTATCGATTTTTTCGGAACCTGATTCCGAACTCAAAAATCGGAATCTGTCATGTCCTTACGGCAGCCATTTGCAAACTTGTGTTGAAAACCGCATCGAAATCGTGTGAGAAATGCGGCCTGGGCGAGGTAACAACGCTCACGACAGACAGACAACATGAGAAATATAGATAGTAGATTATATTTTTTATCTTTACAGATTAAACATGGTTTTGTCGAAAGAAGAAAGAATTAACTTCTTTTTCTGGGGTATGCTAAAGGAGAAGGTGTACTCAATGAAAATCACAGATGCAACACACTTGATTGAATGCATAAAGAGTGTATGTGCTATAATTGAGGGCATTGGGAAGTTATTGCATCGAGTTCACGTGAATCTTGCAAAGTGCATCAACCTTTTTCATAAAAAATGATGGAAATCATATTGAAGATGTTATTTATTAATATTCCAATTCAATAAAATGTTGTTGAAAATTTAATTTCTTGAAAATTTGACTGTGTTCAGACCTTAGGGACATCCTGTATTATGAAAATGTTGTTTTGCTACAATCTATTTTTTAAAGGTAAACTAATCTAAAATTCAACATTACTTTTTAAAAAAATGTCACTTACAAAGAAAAACAGAAATTATCGTATTTTCCGCACTATAGTCCGCACTTTTATATAACACGCACTCTTATAAATTCAACTATCTGGACATAAACTGGTTCGACGCTGGCGACCGGTTTTTATGAACTTATGTTCCCCTAACCCTAACCCCGGCCACTCAAGATTCGAAGACACAATTCATATATAACCCGCACCGTTATATAACACGCACCCTATATATTTCGAGAAAATAGTCGCGGGTTATAGTCCGGAAAATACGGTACTCATAAAAAATTCATTATCAATATATTTATTGTTTTATCATAGAGAAAAATGTTAAATTATGTGAAAAAATATTGTAGGATTTTTAAATACATTTCGCAATGTAAAAACAGAAATGAATAAAAACAATTAAAATTAATTTTCTTGAGAGAGAGAGAGAGATAAAGAGAGAGTGAAAGAGTGAGAGAGAAAGAGAGAGAAAGAGTGAGATAGAAAGAGAGATAGAAAGAGAAAAAGAGAGAGATAAATAGAGAGAGAGAAAGAGTGAGAGATAGAGAAAGAGAGAGAAGGAGAGAGAAGGAGAGAGAAAGAGACTGTAAGATTCGTAAGAAAAAATGAGAATAATCGGATTACTAAATTATTTCTTTAAATCAAGTAAAATTAAAATGTTACATTTTGCTATAAGAAGTGTGGTAAAAAAATTCAACTTATATTTACTTGTTTAGAAACAGAAATACGGATTACGCAAATAAATAAATGATCCTTAATGTGTTTTCTTTTATAAATAAGCATTTCATAGAGAAGAATATTCAGTTGTCGCTTCTTAAAAAAAATGTTAAATTAAGTTGCTTGTAACAAAACCGTAATTTCTACATGAGGATTTTTTCGTGAATTTCGCACAAAACATAGCATGTTCGAAGGAAATAAAACAAATAAATCTTATACTTAATGTTAATCCAAGTGTAAATAGCAAAACTTTCTTAAACTGACAACAACAGTACCTCAAAACCAAACTGAAACTAAAAAAAAAAAAAAAACATCGCTCTCTGTGGGCCGGCGAGATTTCAAATAGGCCTCCGGTTCTGGCCATCAGTTGCACCAATAGTTTTCCTGAAATAACGAACCCCTGATCAGTTTTTTTTATTTAAAACGTGAATATGAATTGATAATATATTTATATATTTTGTTATTGTTCTATAAGTTATATTTTATCTTCTCTTTTGCTGAGATAATAAATAACAAAAGACATCAGTAGAGATATGTGCAAGTTAAAGGAATCAATACCTGTGTTGTTTTAAAACTAGTAAGTCAGTAAACGTGGCGCTAAAATTTATGCTATACTCGAAGTTCCTGCGAAGATTTCACTATTTTCCTATTTTAATTTTCTTACTTGGTTGAATATGCTCCTTGCGAGTTTCACGACTCTTAAATACCCGTGAAGTTTGCCCTGTTGCATCCTTAAATATTTAGGCTTAATAACTTTAACAAAATTGAATCTGTTAACACACGTTCAAAATAACAAGGACGTTAAAAAATGGTCAGTATATCTAATCCAAAATGTAGGAAGGACGAGTAGTATAAAAAAATCAGATATCAAAAGTCCAGCGTCAAAAGTCCAAGAGGTAAAGTAAAATAGCCTCAAAAAATCCAACTTGCAAATTCTAGTAAAACGAACTCACTCTTGTTCACATACCAAAAATTACGCTATCCTGGTCAAGAAAAACAACGGCTTTTATTGAGAAAGTAAATTTTGCGATTGGTCGCGATAGTCGACGAGGATAAACAAAAAATGCCATATTAGAAGTATGTTTAAGGCAGTAATTATGAAGCATTTATTTTTACTTTTCTTCGGACAATAGGCCACGAACTCTTTTTTGAGGTAGGGGATTTTCCGGTTCGGCGCTAAAACATTTCAATAACAAACATAACTGTGAATTTAAAGAAGTAAGAGGATACAAATAAAAAGATTAAAACTTCCAAGGTTTTCCATTTTATTGAAGCATCCGTTAGATAGAGAGCGTTATCTTTCCTTCTTTTCTCTCTCTCTCTCTTTCTCTTTTTCTTTCTTTCTTTCTTTTTTTTCATTCATTTATTCTCTTTCTTTCTGTTTTTCTTACAGACACGCAACAAATATCGTCGCAAAAATATCATTTTTTTCTTCCTTTCTTTGCAACCGCAACTAAATCGAATGTCCCATTATTTTACTGAGGTAATGGCAAGATGTGAAATTAGTAGGTATTCACCACAAGAACTTTTTGATACCTTACTACCGAGAAAAACATACATTAAATGTGGATTAATGTCCTTATTCCAATGGAAGCTAGCCGGAAATAAACAAAAGAGTTAGTGATTTACTCTGTGCACTGCTTTAAAATGTCCTTCTTTTACACTCAAGGCTCGGGAGCCAGGTTTATTTTTAAGCTATTTAACGTACAATTGTGGAAGAGGAGAAATGGTTTGTTTTTTTTTTTATTTCTGTTCCAAAGAAAAATATGTGAGAAAAAAAAATGAACTCATCATTCTCGATGATAAGTTGAAATCGGTTCGACGATACCAATTTCCCAGTAGATAACAGTTATCTCATTAAATACGTCAGAAATAAAAATTAAAATCCTTATCTGCTAACAATCTCCAGACAGATGCAAGCTGAACGCTTTAGCAAAATCGACTTATTAACAATTATTACATAGAGAGGAAAGTGTGTTTGTAGGATATGTAATAGTATCCAAAACCAAAGCGGAGATGCTGAGACAAAGTGAAAAAAGCTCATAAAAGACGCCTTTCGACCACAGTCTGTTGATCATGGTGTATTCAGATAAGACAAAACTGTGCGTAAGGAAAATGCGTTATGATTTTTTTTTAATAAGAGGGAACATAAAGTAAATTACCTAACAGATCCGACGACCACAAACTAGAAAGGGCCTGTTTGTTTGCATATTAGATCCGTTGTTGTTTGTTGGATTTTAAATAAGAAACTAAGAAAGTATTTTTGAGAATATATATATATATATATATATATATATATATAGAGAGAGAGAGAGAGAGAGAGACAGAGAGAGAGAGATAGATAGATAGATATAGTATATATATATATATATATATATATATATATATAGTATAATGAGAAGCCACGTATACTTTCTTAATATGTATATATAGAAAAAAGTTTCAAATTAAAAAATTATGTTTTATTTTATGAAAGTATTTATTTATTTATATATATATTTCATATTTCAAATTGTCCTCAATTTTTCATCAGAAATAACTATTTGTTACAAATAAATTAAAATTACTGTTTGTTAGCAAGTAGCGTCCTTCGCGAGACGCGGACGTCACGTGATATGGAACGTCACTGTTCGGATATATATATATATATATATATATATATATATATATATATACGTATCTATCTATCTAGATAGATAGATAGATAGATACGTATATAAATATATATATATATATATATCTAGCTATATATATCTATCTATCTATATATATATATATATATATATATTTATATATATATATATATAAAATGGTGCATACACTAATATCCGAAGATGCCAGTCTACTACGGCGGTTAGCTAATCCCTGTTGCAGACGTCTGCTCCGTCAAATTTACGTTGTTTCAACATCCTCAGTGTCCACTTGTGGTTTATACTACAACTATGATCAGCGAACCTTAGTTACATTTTCTGTGAGAATGCGCGTTATTTAGCGTGACCAACAATCTGAACAAGGCCAGTACGTTCAAATTCTCGGTCACGTGACGTGCTCGCATAACTATCGACGGCTACCCAGGGTTCCGTCGACCTAATTTTACTCACAAGGCTTGGGTCAAACCGTAGTATGGTTTTCAGAGAATATACCGGGTAAGGAAAGGTAGAGGGATAGAAAGGAAAAAACATAGGAAATTAAAAAAATTACAACAAAAAAATGGTGTCAGTTTAGACAGCAATCATCAGATAATGCAACCATCATCATTTTTATCTAATAATAATAATAATAATAATAATAATAATAATATGCAATTAAATAAAATAATAAAATAAATTAAAGAATATATTAATTATAAATAAATAAATAATCAATAAAAAAACTAATATATATATATAGATAATTATAATAAATAAATTTAGAATATATAAAAAATTGATAAAGTTAATATAATAATAATAATAATAATAATAATAATAATAATAATAAATAATAATTGCAATAAATAAGTAAAAAATAAAATAAAAATTAAAAGTTATATATGATGTAGGGATAACAAGACAATCATGTAAATGATTAAATATATCTATAGTCCGATATATAAAAATGTGTAACAAGCAATATAACTACATATACACATACCTATATATGAATACACGTACATATGTATATGTCTGTACCCATATAAAATACGAATCAATATTCTCACAAGGCTTGGGTCAAACCGTAGTATGGTTTTCAGAGAATATACCGGGTAAGGAAAGGTAGAGGGATAGAAAGGAAAAAGGATAGGAAATTAAAAGCATTACAACAAAGAGTGGTGTCAGTTTAGACAGCAATCATCAGATAATGCAACCATCATCATTTTTATCTAATAATAATAATAATAATAATAATAATAATAATATGCAATTAAATAAAATAATAAAATAAATTAAAGAATATATTAATTATAAATAAATAAATAATCAATAAAAAAAAACTAATATATATATATATAGATAATTATAATAAATAAATTTAGAATATATAAAAATTGATAAAGTTAATATAATAATAATAATAATAATAATAATTGCAATAAATAAGTAAAAAATAAAATAAAAAATTAAAAGTTATATATGATGTAGGGATAACAAGACAATCATGTAAATGATTAAATATATCTATAGTCCTATATATAAAAATGTGTAACAAGCAATATAACTACATATACACATACCTATATATGAATACACGTACATATGTATATGTTTGTACCCATATAAAATAAGAATCAATATTTCAAGTGTTCCGCAAAGTCAATGTTTTCAGGTAATCCTAAATTTGTTTTTATGACGATATAAAAACAAATTTTGTTTATGTAAGCCCTTTTCAGGAATTTTTTCTAGGTCAATTTATTTATTTTTACTATTGGCTCATCTTTTATTTCTTCCTTTTTTTATTTCTCTCTTTCTCTTTTTTTCTCTTAATTTATTTTTTTTTCTAACTTTTTCCGTATTTTCTTATTGCGTATGTTCTTTTTGCTTTTCTTTTTTTGTCTCTCTTTTTCCCTTTCTCCTTTTTATCCCAGTATATCTGTCTGTCTGTCTAAATTGATACGATTTCTTAAAAATATTCGGTATGAATATAACAACATTTATGAAATAAATTATAACCAATATGGATTTTTAAGGTGTTTTCTTAATTTATCATTATAAACTGCTCTGTAACTTACATTGAGCTCTCATTGGATTAAAGTAAGTCCTCTTTGGATTAATACGTACCAATTGCAAATTTATATATATATATATATATATATATATATATATATATATATATATGAGAGAGCCGTTTTCTCCTATGGTTCTTGCTAATTTGTGGGGCGCGTTGTTTA